GCCTTCTCAATGATCCAGCTCCTTGGAATCATTGCAGTGATGTCTCAGGCTGCATGGCAAGTCTTTTTTGTTTTTATCCCTGTGATTGCTACCTCTGTATGGTATCAGGTAGTCCTTCTGAACTCAACTATTTTGTTTTATCTCAAATGATACTTTCAAATTAATTTCAACATTTTTCCTCTCTGAACTCCAGACTTTTGATCCATTATAATGTTTTCTGCTATCTGATTCAAATGACCTTGCCAGTAAATTTATATATTGTTGGGTAATGAGAAGAGATGCTGCAAGCATGGCCCAAAGCATTTAATTATCCAAAGCAGGTTATTATTTTGCTGTCATTGTTCTTTACGCTTTATTTTATTTCGTTTCTTTGAATATTAAAATGCACTACATTAGCTCATATTATTGGTTGAATTGATGCTGAAAGAGCAAAAAATGTTAGCTCCAATGACACATGGACGAAAATCTTCATATTTGTGCTAATATTTCACAAGGTTGTTGATGGTTATGTTGTTCATTTCTATACTTGCCTTTTGCTTTGAAGTTCCAGAGTTGAGAATACATTCAGCCTCAATTTCACTGCGATTCAACTTATTATGTCATACATTACGGTACTTGGCATAATAGTACTCATAAACCTCTAACTTTGTAGCAATATTACATATCTTCAGCACGAGAACTTGTGAGGTTGGTTGGAGTATGCAAAGCTCCAGTGATACAAAAATTTTCTGAAACGATTTCAGGAGCAACGACTATCAGGAGCTTTGATGAAGAACCAAGATTCAGAGAGAAAAACATGAAACTAAGTGAGTCATTTTCTCGGCCTGTATTCCATACTGCTGGTGCTATTGAATGGCTCTGCTTCCGCCTAGATATGTTGCCTTCTATTACATTTGCCTTCTCTTTGGTGTTCCTAATCTCTATTCCTCCGGGAATTATTGATGCAGGTATGTTGTTGCAGATTGGTAGTTCTATTGATTATTGATGTATGTTGATAAAGAATGGTGAAGGCATGTGAGACAACTCAATTCTGTTTTCTCCTGTCAAGGCATTGCTGGCCTAGCTGTGACATACGGACTCAATCTGAATATGTTGCAAGCAATGGTAATATGGAGTCTGTGCAATCTGGAGAACAAAATTATATCAGTTGAGAGAATAATTCAGTACTCTTAACATTCCCAGTGAGCCTCCTCTTGTGATCGAAACAAATCACCCAGCTCATTCTTGGCCATCTCATGGAAAAATTGATATTCATGATCTGCAGGTAATCAGTTCATAGTTTCTGCAGCTTGTTATTTTTACTCAATCGTTGCAGCACTGATTTTGATGGGTCAATTTAGGTCCGTTATGCCCCACAAATGCCACTTGTGTTGCGGGGCCTTACATGCACTTTTCCAGGAGGGTTGAAAACTGGTATTGTAGGGAGGACAGGCAGTGGTAAATCAACTCTTATACAGACACTTTTCCAGATTGTTGAACCTGCAGCTGGCCAGATTATAATAGATGGTGTCAACATCTCATCCATTGGACTGCATGATTTGCGGTCAAGACTAAGCATCATTTCTCAGGATCCAACAATGTTTGAAGGGACTGTTAGGAGCAATCTGGATCCTCTTGAAGAATACACTGATGAACAGATTAGGGAGGTGAATTTGATTTATTTTGAAGGGGGAGGAAGTTGTAGTTTGCAGCCTTTCCTCCTAGTAAGAAGCATTTGTTTTAATTGGTATTTGACGTTCAATGGTTGCTAAAACCAAGTTTTAATTGAATTAGGCTCTTGATAAGTGCCAACTTGGAGATGAAGTTAGGAAGAAGGAAGGAAAACTAGATTCTACAGGTCTGACTCTTTTTCTCCCCTTGGACCCCTCCCCTATTGTAATGTTCTAGTTTGATCTCAAATCCAGTGTTTAAACGGACTCCATATTGTCTTATCTTCTGACATCTGGTGCTTCAGTTAGTGAGAATGGAGAAAATTGGAGCGTGGGACAGAGACAGCTCGTTTGTCTTGGCCGTGTGTTACTGAAGAAAACTAAGGTCTTTTTTTTTGAGGAAAGAAAACTAAGGTCTTAGTGCTTGATGAAGCTACTGCATCTGTCGACACAGCTACTGATAATCTGATTCAGCAAACCCTAAGGGAACACTTTTCAGACTGTACAGTCTTAACTATTGCACACCGGATAACTTCCATCCTAGACAGTGACATGGTTCTGCTTCTACATCATGGTATGAATGGTTTTATGTCAATTTCAATTTTTTCCCTCTAGGTACAGAATTACAGTGTGTATTAAATTGATTTAATTTTCTTAACTGGTAGGACTCATTGAAGAGTATGATTCTGCGGCAAGACTGCTGGAAAACAAGTCTTCATCTTTTGCTCAGCTTGTAGCAGAGTATACTACAAGGTCAAATTCTAGTTTCGACCATTGAACATCAGACCTTAATGATTGCAGCTGAGAGGAGTTTTGTCATGACAATGACGAAGATTTGCTGGGATGATTTAATATTTTCGCACTTAGCATTAAAGATAATGGCATCGAGATGACTCATCATGTACTTTATATACATTGTTTGAAATAGTATCTATCTTGTGTGGTTGTGATATCTATTGTTTTTTCAATAATATTTCCGGTTACTTGCTCTAGGTTGCATAGTTTATAAGGGTTTCAAATTAGGGAAGTAGCTAGAAAGATGAAGATATAGTGGTCGGACCCTTTTCAATTTTCATCCAGCCGAGTCTTGTACGGTCAAATATTGGCTAAGTTGAAGAGATGTATCCTTTTGGTGTATTGTAACTGTATATTCAAAGTTGAAACGATACATACTGTTGTATACCATTCCTAAAATATCAAAATCCAACACTTCATATATGGTGCTCTGTGCTCTCTCTGCCTCCTTTTCTTCCTCCTAATTGTTAAAACTTGCTTTCTCATTCTCTTTACATGCTTCTTATTTCAGCAACACAGCTCTGCTCTAATGAGAAGGCTGCTGCGTTGCTGCAATTCAGGACTTCCGTTTCCATCAATAACACTGCTTCTGATTCTGAACTCTCTGCGTTTCTAAATGAAACTATTCTCCATTTTAAGACTTGATCATGGAAGGAAGATATAACAATTATATATAAAGGTGCCGAACCGTTTCAGTAATGCAATATGAACATTTTGCCAAAAAACTATCCAGAATTCCGAACTCAAGCCACTGAAATGATAGCTCAATCTGTTACATAATTAAATACTTCTAAAAAAAATTGGATCGTTCCATCTTTGATAAGGGATCACCTCATCACGTTATCACTGATCTTTCAAAGCTAGCACTTTAGTCTAACTACACTAGCTTTTAATTGGTAATGGTTGTATTTAGAAAATTATACATGCGTGTGACAAATTAATTTAGAAGAATCTTCTCTTTTGTTTCATCCTTCGATTTTTCTTGGGGATAATATGCCCAGAACCTCATCTATTTGTTTCTTGCAAAGTTTTTAGTGACATTTAAAATTAATATAAAGCCTTGATGTAGACATAAGCTACTTAATTATCACAAGGACTGCGAACGGTAGTTCATATGTAAATATCATCATCATAAGTTTGGTCTTATTAATATCAGTTGAACCATCATAAGAGAGAAAAAAAAATGAAGTCTATTTATAATTTGAATACCACGGTAATTAAAAACTTTGATAGTAATACCATGACCAAGACTCAATTAGGTATTTTTGTTAATTTTGAATGAGAATATTTATCTTGTCAATTAGATTAAAAAATCAAAACAATAAATGCATAAAAATCAAAAGAGGTTATTTTCTCATAAGTAGGATTTGCAAAGAGCCAAAGACTTGAATCTTCTCTTTAATTTTCCGGCCACAAACTTTGCTGTCAAGTAAAATTTGCGATTTCAAAGATGAAGATGTTTTCCACTTGATTGATTAAAGACTTGTGCAAAACCAATTAGTCTTCTATTTATGATCCATAATTGGGACCAAATTGAAAAGGTAATGATAGCATGGATCTAAGAGTAGCTTACTAAAGGCTTCTATTTATAACATTTTATTTCTTTGATATATAGAATAGATCCTTTGTCTTTTTGAGAAATAGGTCTTTTAAATCAATGTAAATTCATAATTCACCTTTGAAAAAAAATTTTTTTGAAGGATAAAATATATTTTTAAGAATAAAATCACCTCAAAGCTATTATGCTTTGCAAATCCTACTTTGTTTAGAGTATGTATAGTAAGTTTGCTTTAAATATTTTCTTCTCTCCTATTGTTGGAAGAAAATTCAAAAATCAACTTTTAAAATAATTTTTAGAAAGTTTTTTTTTTGATAAAATTTACATGTATAATTTTTTTAAAATTTGTTAAAAAATTATTTTAAAAGTTAATTTTCAAATTCTCATCTAACAATTTTTAAATTTGTGACAAAAAAAATTTATATAAAGCAAATTTATTTTTTAAGCTTGCCCAAACACCCTCAAAGACTAAAATCCAATTGGTTCCTCTTAAGAAAGTAGAAGGAATATCAGTTATATATACATATTATAATTATTTGAGGATATATCTAAAAACTCAATTTGTAATCAATACTGTTAGACCAGATTCGGTTGGTCCGCAAATCTACGCTTAAGTATAGAGTGGAGGACAAATTTATCATCCAACTAAGAGAAATGCTAGGGGCACTCGCCTCCTGCACTCTCCGGCCAACACTTTCACTTTCATTGGGCCACGTTATTTTGGTTGGCAAGAGGTTGCACTCCAAAGGTTTAAACGAGCTTACGTGGCCCAATGAAAGGGGAAGTGCCGGCCGGAGAGTGCAAGAGGCGAGAGTGCCCCTGGCGCTGCTCTCCACGTAAATGTAGGGACAACTTGCCCAACTAACTAATCAGATTAGAAAAATTATCTCAAATTTAATTCTGACATTACATGATATCAACTTTTTGTATAGTCAGCATTGAAATAGAAGCCACCTAAGTAAGAAAGTAATTAATATTTTTCGGGGGTTGAAAATATAGATCATCTATTTCAATTTTAATAATGATTTAACATATCTAATTCTTTGGTTAAAGAAATTTTATATATTGACATATATTAATAATGTTAAATTTTGTGTAATTAAAAAACTATTAGGCATATCAATCAATTTAAAAATTGATATATATATAATTTACATGAATAAAAATTTTAATTCAATAGTGAGTTTTAAAAATATTAATTAAAATATGACATTTCTAGAAATATTCTTTACATTACTATTTTGTAAAACACTTTTTCAATATAAAAAAATTGTATCTCAAATTTTTCTAACTTACATTTATAATTTTTACGTATTATTAGGTAAGTAAATGCATATTATATAATAGTTTTTTAAAAAATAAAAATAATAATTATTAAATAATAATTATATATAAACTTGTATGAAAAAATTGTATAAAATAATTTTCCTTCAATTATTATTTTTTTAATGAAATAACACCCCATAAGACGTGATAACAAGCAATTAAGTCTTTTTTTTGAAAAAAGGAAAAAATTATCGACTAATAATTTGAATTAAAAGTCATAGTAATATTTCTAGTAGGCTAAATAACTCATTAAAAATTTCTTTTAAATAAAAGTAAGAAATTGAGTTTTAGTTACATAATATATAAATGTGGTAAATTAAAAGGTAAGAAAAAATTATTTTTCATTGTACAATTAAAATTTTTTTTAAAAAAAGGTCTTATTATTAAAAAAAAAAAAAAGAAGTCTTGATAATTTGCTGTCCTTTGTTTGTACTAGAAACCCTGTTAGATTCTAACAAATTGAAACCTTAAAGAGTTTTTAAGAAACTTTCTTTTTAAACTTCAATAGAAATTGAAGAAGAATAAAGAAAGTCAACTTACCGTATATTTCCGAGGGGGCAAGAAATGGAAACCAAAGTTTGGAGAAAGCGATACATTCAGTGGAATTATTTGTTCCAAAAAGTAGTAAAATTGATATATTAGAACGTTTATAAAGAAGCCAAACATAACTCAAAAGAGTTTTTCAATCCTCTCTGTTCATCACTCTGCCGCAATTGCTTACAAGTTTCCTTGGTTACATTTTCTTTCTTGACCACATTTGTCAAGTACATATGGAAATTGAGATGTAATAAATATGATGTACGTATATGCCAATATGTAATGGAGTGGAAGAATTTCAAATCAAAGTAGGAACCAATTTTTAGACAAAACAACAGTTTATAAAAGCAATAGTTATAAAAATTTCAAACTAAGAAAGTAACATGGAAAAATCAACATATAATGGATGACTAGAAATCTCTTTCCTAATTTCTTTATAATTTTGCATATGGTTCGCCAATTACATTTTAAGGAATTTGCATGTGGTTCGTCAATTACATTTTAATGAAGAAAATTCCTTGCACCTAAGTTTGATGGGTAAACTCATCACAATCAATTCAATTGCATCCTTACTACTACTTCAAAAACTATACGTTAAGCCCTTGAACTAAGCTCATATTCTTAATTGAGTCCCTAGACCTTTTTTAAAAGTAGATAAACCTTTGAACCCCACAATCTGTGCAATTTTATCCCTTTTTGTCTTTTTTTGGCCGCATCTTTGTAGTTCGCCGTTAACAAGAGGGCAAAATTGCATAGATCGTAGAGTTCAAAGGCTTATATGCTTTAAAAAAAGTTTAAGGGCTCAATTGAGAATATTGGATTAGTTCAAACGCTTAACATGAGGTTTTGTCTAAAAAAAAAAAATAATTCATAGATAATTTTTTTAATCATATTTTGATATAACTTGATATGTCATTTAAATAATTGATTTTTTTATTCATTTTGAACCCATGATATTAATTATATCTACTCAGTTAATAACATGTAATAATTGTATAAAAATTATTAAAAATATTATTCTTATATCACTTACCTAAAAAAAAATTGTTGTCTTTGCTGCGGTGATACGACACTTGTGTGAACATCTGGAAAATGCAGTTTTGACATTTCTAATCCCAAGATCTTTCATCAATTCCTCAGTCCCTTCTTTTTATCTTCACTTTAAAAACCCGGTTGGATTCTAACAAATTGAAAGTAACTTATCTTATATTTCCAATGGGGCAAGAAGTGGAATCCAAAAGGTTTAGAGAAGAAATACATTTGGTGGAAAATTAATTGTTTCAAAAAGTAGAAAAATCGATGTTGGACCTTTTATAAAGAAAAAACTCCAAGGAGTAGATCCATTGATAAGCAAGTGTCATCTTATAGATCAAGTTTAGGGTTCAAGTATTAGGTCCACATCCAAAAACTTTAATCTCTTTGAATGCACCAATTTAATGTGAGAGATGCACCCATAAAATTACTCAAGAAAAAATTAGTCTCAAAATGCACAAAAGCTATCTTGGGACACCCTAACCTTAAATACAAAGGAAAAAAAGGACCAAAATAACTCAATAGTTTTTCAATCCTGTCTGTCCATCAGTTCCATGCAATTGCTTGCAAGTTTCCTTGGTTACGTTTTCTTTCTTGATCACATTTGTCAAGTAAATGTGGAAATTGACATGCAATAATAGGATGCATGTATTTGCCAATATGTAATATAATAGTGGAAGAATTTTCAAAATAGAAAGTAATTTCTAGACAAAATAGCAATCCATGAATGAGATCATTGTAGAAATTTCAAACTTGGATAGTAGCATGGAAAGATCCACATTTAATGGATGGATAGGAATCGCATTCCTAAGTTCTTTAGAATTGCTTATGGTTTCTCAATTACATTTTTATGAAGAAAATTCCTTGCACCTGGGTCTGATCAGTAAACTAATTACAATCAATTCAACTGCTTCCTCACAGCTATCTCACAAATTAATTTTGCTTTTAGCTTTACATGTCATTGTATGAAATTAATAAACCATATTCTTTTGAAGAGTCAACTTACAAAGTTAATTTTGTTATTTTAAGCTCTCTCTTAATTATTTAGATTTCTCTTGGTACGTCCCTTCCAAAATCTCTCACTTGAACACAGGCTGCCTTCACTTGATCTCCCCTCCAATTATGAGCTCGAGCTTAAAGCACATACATTAAAAGTACTTGTTCCAAACCTAACCCAGGTGTGACAACTTTTTCTTGATCAAATAACTGTCTTATGTTGATGATCCTTCTTCCTTAATGGATCTATCTCCTTTTCCTGGACGCATCTATTTTGACATCATTCCTAATTCCAAAGTCGTTACCATGTATCTTTATTTAGGAATGAGGTGAAATTATCTTTTTATAACTTGAAGTTTGCCTAGGTATACCTAGTGTAGTTGTATTCCCCTTTATGAGACATTCTTTGAAATAAAAAGTAACTGGACTTTTCCTTAAAAAAAAAAAAAAGGGACTTCACTCATTAGCACCATGACCAAGACTTAATCGAGTCTTTTGGCAACTTTATGTGGAGTAAGTTCATGAAATTGGTTAGAGACGAGGAGCACTCAGGTTTTGCGTCAATTGGCTGCAGGTTAATTATTTTTTATCAAAGAAGAATTCTTCTTTTAGATTTTCTAACATAGTTTCGGTTTAGATCTGTATTTCTTGATATTCTGATGATCATCCTCGTTCCATTTTGGTAAGCAATCTCTTGTTGTTTGCTCTGTAAAATTTCTCTTTCCCAATTG